AGTTGAGGATTCTGCATGCCAACTTTCGGGTGGATAGCAATCCGGATGGCCAGGATTTGGAGAGGATTGCCCATCAGACCGGTCTGTCCAAGAGAGTTACTCAGGTAATGATGATGTTGTTGTTGATGTTGTTGTTGCTGTTTTTGATGTTGTTATTGTTGTTGATGTTTTTGATAATGTTGTTGATGTTGTTGTTGTTATTGTTGTTTTTGTTGTGTTTGTTATTGTTGCTGTTGTTATTATTGTTAATTTTGTTGATAATTTTGTTGTTGATGATGTTGTTGTTGTTGTTGATGTTGTTGTTGTTGCTGTTGATGATGTTAAAGTTTTGATAGAAGTAGTTACGCAGTTGATCATGGTCATGATAATGGTGTTTTTGTTAATGTAGTAGTAGTAGTAGTAGTAGCAATAGTAGTAGTAGTAGCAGTAGTAGTAGTAGTAGTAGTAGTAGTAGTAGTAGTAGTAGTAGTAGTAGTAGTAGTAGTAGTAGTAGTAGTAGTCAAACAGATATGGCAAGCCATTTTTCCAACATAGCGAATATAATCTACTCTTGACATCGTCAAGGTGTGGTTCCAGAATTCCAGAGCCAGGCAGAAGAAACACCAGACGTCATCAGTGACGTCATCGTCATCTTCCTCTTCTTCGTCATCATCGTCATCTTTATCATTATCATCATCATCGTCGTCGTCATCTTCTTCGGTTTCGTCGGCATTACTATCCTCACTGGCCAATGGAGTTTTCAGCATTCGCTCACTCTCACCCTCTGATCATCATCATCATCCTCATCATCATCACCTTCCTCTTGATCATCATCAGCAGCAGCAGCAGCATCTTCTGGATCATCATCACCATCATCTTGATCATCATCATCATCATCTGCAGTCTAACTTAAGCTTCTTGAATGATATGATTAATAATAACAATTGTAATAGTAACTATTGCGGTGAAGATGATATCGGTGCTGATAACGATCCTTATCACCATCATCATCATCGTCGTCGTCATTATCTGTCTCCTAAGCATATCTTCCTGTACCAACAACAACAACAGCAACAACAACAGCAACAACAACAACAACAATTTCAACAGATCGCAAATGGCTATGATGATGATGACGGTGTGCTGGTTGGTATGGATGTGGATTCGTCAAATTTTAACTTCCAACGACTCGATTTTGATGCTTTCAACAACAACAACAACATCAACAACAACATCAACGACAACGACAACAACCTCAACCTCATCAACAACAACAACATCAGCATTAACAACAGCAACAATAACGCCAACAACAACAGTAGTAATGTTCTGATCCAAGCATACGTAACGCAACAACAACAACAGCAAAACATCAACAACAACAACATCAACAACGTCTACAACAACAACAACAGCAACAACTTGAAAAATAGCGTTGCAACAACAAATGAAAACTGGTTAGCTACATACAAACAAACAAACAAATAAACATACATACATACATACATACATACAAACAAACAAACAAACAAACAAACAAACAAACAAACAAACAAACAAATAAATAAATAAACAAATAAACAAACAAACATACATACATACATACATACGTACAAACAAATATACAAACAAACATACATACTAACAAACTTACATACAAACATGCATACATAGGTAGTATTTTGCAGTTATTTGGTCAATTCTTTATTGGCATGTTTGTCCCCAGCAATTTAAAGAGATGTGTAGATGTGTGTTTGTGGGAGTGCGTGAGTGGGAGTTTGTGAATTCATTCATTCATTCATCATTCATTCAATCAGTCACTCATTCATACATTCATCATTCATTCAATCAGTCACTCATTCATTCATTCATCATTCATTCAATCAGTCACTCATTCATTCATTCATCATTCATTCAATCAGTCACTCATTCATTCATTCAATCAGTCACTCATTCATTCATTCATCATTCATTCAATCAGTCACTCATTCATTCATTCATCATTCATTCAATCAGTCACTCATTCATTCATTCATCATTCATTCAATCAGTCACTCATTCATTCCAAAATTTACTTTCAACCATTTTTCTCTAATAAAATTTAATTGCACTTATCGCTCGAGCTTTTTTCATTCGCTCAATCAATCATGCCATCATTCATTCATTCATTCATTCATTCATTCATTCATTCATTCATTCATTCACACATACATTTATACATTACTCAGTTATTCACCCAAATTTATTCATAGTCATTCATTCGTTCAGTCATTTGTTCATAGTCATTCATTCGTTCGTTCATTCATTCAATCCTTCCTTCCTTCCTTCCGTCCATCCATCCTTCACTCCTCCATTGCGGCTTATTATCTTCCATCCATCAATTGCGCGGTTCGTTAGTGAACTTCATTGTTTGATTGGAGAGATAAAAAAGATGACGACCATGATGACGATGATGTTGTTGATGATGATGTTGTTGATGATGATGTTGTTGATGATGATGTTGTTGATGATGATGTTGTTGATGATGATGTTGTTGATGATGATGTTGTTGATGATGATGTTGTTGATGATGATGTTGTTGATGATGATGTTGTTGATGATGATGTTGTTGATGATGATGTTGTTGATGATGATGTTGTTGATGATGATGTTGTTGATGATGATGTTGTTGATGAT